TTGCACAAAACAGGGGGAAAAGATAAGTAGATGTGAATTGCTCTAATCAGTAGAAGAAATTATCATATGCTTATGTTTTCTGGTCCATGGCTCTAGCATTTCATTAATCTGAGAAGAGCTTAAATCAGTGTAAAATAATGACGCCACCCTAAGTCTCACCTCTCATTTCAGCTTAACATTCAAAGACCAGTTTACCACATAGACAAACTACATGTAGGGACACAGATACTCAAGTCCCTTACATTAGACCAGTTGAACATATGTTGGTGTCAGAGATGCAAGTACACCAACAGGCTGTGACCTATAAGGATGTTTCTTTGTAATCTCCTCCCTCATGTCCCTCTCCCAGTGGGGGGAAAATAACATCACCATCAGCTGCAATTAAAGTACTAAGGATAAAGGAATCATAGACTGAAAGATGAGCTAACAATTAGTTCATTCTGCAGACCTGTGTTTTATCTACTTATTTGACTTTAGAGCCACAATAATAGTGTATATTTCTATGGGAAAAAATCCTGGTGAAAAAGGGAACTTGTTTACAGCCATTTCCAGGTAACAGTCTCAAAAGCAATGTAAGCTCAGAAGGAAATGCCATTTTGCAGCATACAATTATACTCTGCACTCCAGAAAAAAGTTACAGAATAGAAATGACTTGTTGGCTCTGCCAAATAACTTCCTGATGAATGACCAACACTACAGAGGAGGGTCCACTTTTATTTCATTATTAACTTTTTCCTAATTCCTAAATATACATTTTTACCTTTAAGTCTAAATCAGCATCTAATTCTATGAACTGACATTTTCAGCGTTTTGTTTGCTTGTTTTAAATAACTATTTTATAGCCCTCACATTTGAAAGGATACTAGGTGTGAAAAACATTAGCTTCTTTTCCAAACAACACACTGACACATGTACTAACCACCATCTTATACTGAGGCTGTTGGAGCTTATCACAACTGTCAAGCTGTTACTTGAAGTCCAGTTCAATAACCTGCCAAGTGAAAAGCTGCTCGATTTAAAAGTATAAATAAAAAATAGCCAGCATGTTTCTAGTGCGGGAATATCATAAACCTGCCTCCTTTAAGCTATGAAAACCACACACACACCTTTCAAAAGCAAACAAGTGTAATAAGCACAAAAGCACTACAGATTAAATACTGCCACAGTGCTCTGTTCAAACTGCTGAAGCATCCCGCAGAAACAGTTGAGGTGAGCACATCCTTTTTCCTCTCCACATCCCCCAAATCATTTCCTACACATCTCCTTCTATTGGTGGGAGGGGCTAACATGGGGAACCAGGCAATACCACAGGCTATTCATGGCTTGCTGTTCAGCCCTGAAATTCTATAGCTCAATGCTATTTGATTCTGCGCTGACTTCTGCTTCACCACTCTTATTCCTCCCCTGCAGCCAGGAACCCCCATTCCTTCCTGTGGCTTCTCTCTCACAGTTTCTAATCCCACTAGTCTGACCCTGGGGCATCTCCTTAGGCTCAGCGCAGCTTCATGCCCCAAGGTCATGAGTCATTTTGGAGATGGCGGTTTACATGTGGAAGGAGTTACGTGTAATTTCGTGTTTCATAGAAGACAGTCATCTCTGCTTTACCTCCTCGTTAATTTCCTGCATCTCACCTCAGGGTGCAGTCTTCAGAGGTTTCCTTCTCCCCACCCCATAGTGGAGTCACACAGGCAGGTAGGTGTCATCTCATGCAGGTGCATGGCATTCATGGCTTAACCACTCCTCCGCACCTCTCACTCCTCCCTTTCCCAGTTTGCAGAAAACGGGAATTTCCTTCTGTCCTCCTACTGCATGATAAAACCCAGCTTGCTATTTCAGGGGAAAGGAAGGAAACTGAGAGGGAAACCTATACAAAGTTTCTGTCGTGCTTATTAACCGCTGCTTCACTCCAAGTAAAGACTACTATCTTAGCAGGTGGCTTACAATTTTCTGTTGTAATACCACAGAAGTGTGGGTCTGAATCACTATGTCTCTTCTTCTCTCTTACTATTTAGCTAAAAACCTTTCTGAAACTCCCAAAGATCTTTGTTCCGTATACACCTGCTCAGTTAAGTCAGAACTACCAAACGCAACAACTCAAAGAAATGACAGAGCTCTTGGGGGTATACAGTTTCGTGGATCTGTGTTATCCAAAAAGCACAGCTGGCTACAGGGGCTGGCACTTTGGATAATCAGTGGGGTTAGCTGACCTTCTGAAGTACTATAAAACATATCTTCTTACTCGGTCTTCCTCGTAACAGAAAGAAGCTGTATCAGAAAAAAACCAAATGCGTAGCAAGTTCATTGCATCATTTCAGAAATCTAGAAGTTTCATGCATAAACAAGTCACCCAGGGAACATCCCCTGAATATTCTTTTCTGGCAGATAGACAGTGCAAAAGCAGCCTGTGTTTACCTTAAGGGAACACGAAGTTCTCTCAGGGTTCACGCTTTCTTGGGCAATAGGTCTGGGGTGCTCGCAGGACTGGCGAGTGTTACTCTTCTCTATCAGATTCCTTATTTCAACATCAAGCTCTTGGCTTTCACACCTGCTTTGAAAGAAATAGCAATGTTAAACTTTGCACCAAAACTAGAAGGTAAATTTATCAGCTGCCTTCCGAGTCTGACAATGCAGACAGCAGAGCTAGTCCTGCAGCAAGCTCCCGCCACCTTCCTTCCTGGTACGCAGTCACAGAGGACTAAAGCAGTGTCACACAGGCTGTCTCCAAGTGCTTTGTGGCAGAAATTCATTTAAAACAATTACACAAGCAGTCTCTATGAATGTTACTACCTTGCACCTACAAAATGCAAGTTGACCCTTTTGGGGATTAGAGGAACACTGTCACGTGCCCTCCAACCTCAGACACCCACCCACAGCTTCAAGAATTTTAAATTCTACTTTAACAAAACTGCAAACAAAATGGCTAAATTGGTTCTGAACTCCAAAACTAGCTGCTCAGTCCAGAGAGTTTTCTGAGGGCACGTTTTGTTTTCTGTAGCACTTTGTAACAGATACTTGACATACATTTTCAATGCTTTTTTTTCCCCTGAAAGCTCCTTTTAAAGAACATTCACATCTTGTAAAATCAGTCTATTGCAAACACTAAAATAGTGGGAAAATTCTTTTCTTTCAGTCTCTCTGCTAAGGACACACAGCACTCAAGGGCTAGCTCCAAATTCACAGAATTAACTAGCAGTCAGGGCTGATTCACTTCATACAGTATAATGGGAGGAATAAGACTTTCAGAATATGGACCAGGGCATAATTAAAACCAACCCCCAAAGCCCTTGAGCAACCCAAATTTTCAAGAAATGCTTGTCCCTTTTGTAAGTTCAGACCTTCGTTTCTAATCATCTTAAAACAAATCTAAATATAAGTCATGCAGGACCAGAAAGCAAACTGCAAGACTCAAAAGTATTACCAACCTGTCATGGAAAGATTGCTTCTTGATTTAGGTGGAATATACTAAATTCTTCATTTGAAATTCCAGAAAAACTGAAGGCAGTAAGACTGTACAAGTTATTGCAGTTTAGACAGACAATCCACAGGGATTGCACTACAGGATCTGAAGCAACTCTTGGTTGGCAATAAATAAAATTAGCCAATAAACAAACCCATCTATTCTAATCATGAGTAAATAAGTGTGGAAAATTTCGCGCTGGTAGCATAGAATGGTTCATTTTGTTCTCAATATTTACACCACAGACTATAACAGAAATGTATTTTCAGTAAGCATGAATGCAAAATCATTTGCAGAGGTACCACAATAAAATACCAACAGTAGCAAACAAGGACACGTAAAACTCAAGAACCTTTTTTAACTTGCTGCACTGTAGTTGGACAAGCTGGAATTTCATGGCAGTTTCAGAGCTGCCATGAAGCCTGCCTGCAACAAAATCAAACAAGTGTCATGGCAGAAACAAGATTATTTGGATGAGTTTCAAGAGCTAGACCTATGGCAAAAGGAAATAGGACTTTTACACAAGGAACTAGACTAGAGTTTTGTAGCGCTGGAAGAGCCTGAGGCATTACAACAGACCACATGGTGGTTTTTCTCCACAGAAGGATACTTCCTCACACTAACCTTTCACTTTTTTCTCTTTTTTAACAGTATATCAACTAGTGCAAGTTCAAAGAAACAGAGTACCCAGCTGAAGAGAGAACTGTGTTTTGTTGGACCACTTTAGCTGGCGATAAGAGCCTCTCAAAGCAATGATAATTAAAAGGAAGACCGTCCTGCTGCACATCTTCGTGGACCTCAGGGCAGTCAGTGCAGCAGGCTGCAGCCCTCTGAGCACCGGTGGTGGCTTTCAAAGCCACAGCTGTATGTGGTGGCAGGTGAGCCCCAGCAGCACAGGAACTGCGTGGCACCTCGGGAAGAAAGCCACAGAAGGAAAACAACAAACCTTGCAAAAGAAATCTGTCCCCTTTCTGTCTCGCTAAGTATTGGTAAAATCCTGGAGAGACCAACGCAAGTGGCACTGTGTTAAAAACAAGTCTATGATAAGGTTCCCGGATAGTAAGTTCTCAGGCAGCAGCATGACCAAGCACTCTGCTGAAAGCCTTAGTTTTTGATCAGCTACATAATGCGCCCTGAGCAACACCACTTTCCTCTCAAGTGCACTTCTCTAGAAAATACCACCTTCGGCTCATTTGGACTCCCACGTCTGACCCAGCCCGAGACTGCTTTGTGTAACACAACAGGACACCCACTGTGCAGAGCACTCAGTGCTTTGGTGCGTGCTCGGAAGAATTGAAAAGCCACAGCACGGAAGCAGTTGCTCATGGTGCAATTTTAGGAAAAGTGCATAAAATCATGTTTTCATACTAAGGGAGACATTCTTGCTGCAGCCTCTTTAGAGCCCCTACAAACACGGCTAAAGGAAGGGAGAGGTTAAATAAAGCAAGGTGAAACTTTACCTTGCAGTATTGAGGGGTATCAGACAAAGCTGCTAAAACCACAGGCCAGTAGTTTCAAACTGAGCTTTTAAAACTTCAGGTTTTTATCTGCTTAGGCAGCCAACAAAAGGTAGGCTGGTTGATCTCCTCTTCTCTTGCTCCATGCGACTCGTGTGAGATCGGTAAAGCAACCAGCTTACTGCTTAGCTGAGAGAAAAAAACTCTGGCCTACAAGTGGCTTCTAACAAAGGCTATTTCACTCATTGCCCAGGGCTGCAGTCACACATCCTGCTCCAGCTGCAGCAAAGCCAGCCAGAGCTTAACTCCTCTACAGCCCCAGCCACTTTCCACCTTCACTGCCTCTCTAATGCAAATTACCATCCCCAGCTGCCAGTACTACCCACTCACCAGGCTTGGTCAGAATAGGGTTTCTTAAATTCTCTGAAGTCAAATAAAGCAGCTTATACTAAAACAACTGTTTAAAATAAAGGAGTAATATCTGGTGCTGTTCTGACAACCCTGGTAGGAGTGCAGGAGCAAGTATTTAGGCAGTATTAGCACCCATCTCTGCTGCTAGTTTAGCCACAGCAAGAAGAGATGTGTGACCACAACCTCCTGAGATCAGAGCATGAATCAAGCTGGGAAATACCCCATAAAGATGGTGGGTTGGCTTTAAATATTTCTTTCAACCAGAAAGTGTTCATTCCTCTACCCTGCTCCCCACAGTTTGTCTGACATTGGGGCTGTAAATAATGTTCATCTCTGGCTGCTCCCACCCCATCTCCCTGCATTCTCCTTCCTGGGCTTTAGGAATACCTGGGCAACAGCAGGAACCAACTGGGCCTGTGTAAAAGCAAGGGAAAAAACAAAAAACTCAAATCCCTACAAACTGACTGCTGCTCTGTAATACCCATGTGTTTCAATGGCATCGTGAAAGTAAAAAAATTCACTTCATTGACTGGATTTCTCCAATTGTACGTGACCTTGGTACATAGATTTTCCCTCGGATTTTAGACTAAGGTTTCTGACCAGAAACTGTTACTCCATTTATCTGCATTTTAATATTAGCCACTCTAATAACGGGAAGAATATATTTATTGAGATGTAAAAAGTTTATCTTATCTAGTTTATAGACCCATTTTACAGCCTGGACTTTCCGAGCACAGAGACTATCTGAGTGCTTGAATATGTCTTCAAGACACTGGTGATAAGGAGTTACCCCAGAACAAGACATTCTTGAGGATTACTTCGAGTGTTGTGTACAGTTCTGGTGTCCTCAGCATAAAAAGGACATGGAGCTGCTGGAGCAAGTCCAGAGGAGGGCCACGAGGATGATAAGAGGGCTGGAGCACCTCCCGTATGAAGATAGGCTGAGAAAGTTGGCGCCGTTCAGCCTGGGGAAGAGAAGACTCTGTGGAGACCTCATAGCAGCCTTCCAGTATCTGAAGGGGGCCTATAAAGATGCTGGGGAGGGACTCTTCATTAGGGACTGCAGTGGTAGGACAAGGGGTAATGGCTTCAAACTTAAACAGGAGAAGTTCAGATTAGATACAAGGAAGAAGTTCTTCACAGTGAGGGTGGTGAGGCACTGGAATAGGTTGCCCAAGGAAGTTGTGAATGCTCCAACCCTGGAGGTGTTCAAGGCCAGGCTGGACAGAGCCTTGAGCAACATGGTCTAGTGCAAGGTGTCCCTGCCCATGGCAGGGGGTTGGAACTAGATGATCTTAAGGTCCTTTCCAACCCAAACCATTGTATGATTCTATGATTACCTGAGATTCCCCTGGTGAGCTCTAGAGGGCACACAGTATTGAGCTTCTGCAGAAAGCATGTTTTTCAAACCTGCTTTTGGTTTTGTGAAGTTCACAGCTACGTTTCTGCCTCGCTAATACCATTACACTTGTGTGCCATTGCTCACGTTTCTAAAATTAGATGGTTTGGGTTCTAATAATTAAATTAAATAGGCAACCTGTAAAAACAATTAGAAAAATTAAATTCATTCAAAATTGGGAGATAGTCTTTTATGTTTTGTAAAACCATTTCTCAGTGAATGTTAAAAGCATTTTCATGTGATCATAGGGGACAAAGTATATGCTTTGTACATGCAAAAGCTTTCTAAAGTATGTAAAGGTAGATACACAACTCATCCTACTTATGTAACATGCTATGATTAAAGTAGAAGCCAATAAGAGATTAGAATATTCTCTCCTTTTTGTAAACTTCAAGTTGGTTGCTAAATTTCATTTTTGGGAAAATTAAGACACTTCACAGGGAAGCAGAACCTACAGATGTAATGAAGGAAGCCAGTTTCTCAGCATAACTTTTAGCAGCTTGGAGGAAAAGGAGAGCACCCAACCTTACTCACAATGTCCATGTCATATCTGAAAAGTAGTAGCCAATATCCTTCTAGAAACATCTTCTAAGAATAAGAAAACAGGGCTGTTCTCTTTGGTTTGCAAGTTGCCATATCCATGCAGGATTGCACCACATCAAAGATATTTTCATTTCTTCCACGCATTCACTTAGCTGCCTTTAAAATAGTTTTCACTTTTTGCTCTCTGGTACATCTTTGCACCATTTTGATTTCTAGACTCTATCAGCTTTTTGTAATTAATTATTTACCAGTGGCTGCATAGTTTTTACAGAAAGTCA